TTTAATTTCCTTTTAACTTCTGTTCTAGTTCTCAGAATCAGAAAACGAGATTAAAAGTAATCTATGCATTGATAGAAATGGGGATTAAGACATCATTTTGCGTTCTTTGAAACTTTCTACACTTTCTTCTAAATACTCATAATGTTCTTTAATTTTGGAGAATTTTTGTTAAGCATTGCGTCCTTGCATATTCTCGCTTTTACAACAATTATATTCCTATTCTTAGATATTTAAATAGATATTTACATTTTATTACGTATTTTGTCTTAAAAATTCATTATTTTGAAAAAGATAAAAGAAAAATATACTGAAATTTTTTCAGATTTGAAAAAAGTTGTACATACATATTTGCTATCAAAATTGAGTAATCGAAAAACAACATGAGATAAAAAATAGTGTGTCAAAGCATAAACAAACTATGAAGTTTCAATTTTCTTGATCTTTATAAGTTACTTTGTCATATAATTTTGAATGATAATATGGAATAATCTTGTTAGCACAGTAAAGTCGACTTTTATATTGTTCTAAACTTTTGTGAGGTTTAAAGTTGAACAAAGTTTATTTAATTCTTATTCGTGTTCCAATCAGGGAAAAAATTTCAACGTTATATTCGAATTAATTATTACAATTGAAAATCATGTGTCTCGTGATCCTGTGATGATTTAGACCTAGGACTTTATTCTCGGAAAATGTCGCATGTAAAAATAGTAGAAAACTAATATAATAATATGTAAAGTATTTGTCAAAAGAGATAACACTGTATAGTTGCAAAAATTTTCCGAAGGTTATATGGATTAATTTGGTCGTGTCGGAGACACGGCTCTATCATTTTCCCAAGGAATTTAATAAAGTTAGGCTTTACAAGTATCTGTTTAAGGTTGTGAATTTTGAGGGATACAAATAACGCGATTTTTAAAATTCCGAATCAAACATGATCACAAATACACACACGCATACATACACGCACAGATCCAAACACAACTTTTTTTGCGTTAAATGAATTTTTTATTTAACAAATTAAATAAATTACATTTCTTTTTTAATTTACTTCACCATCGAGAAACAGAAATTAGAAATCATTAAATAAGAAATTTTCTTTTACATCGGCAATTCATCTGCATGATTTGTTTATGAAATTTTTTATCTTTACCTAATTCTGTGGCAATCTCTTTTCTAAAGAATTCAAGATAGCGATATTAAAATGAATTTTCAGTGACATATTAACATCAATATTTTCAAAAGTGATTATTATATTATCCAATGTATAATAGTTTCCAGCTCGATGTTTCTCCGAGAAAATTTGAAATCACGCTCCTCACGCAATTTCATGCGATGAAATCGTTTATATTCAGATATTCATCGAAAGTGTTATTAATTTGTGGATATCTGATGGCCCATTAAACAGCCCTAGAAAAAATTAAAATGCATAATACATAAAAAAATTAGAATCAGAAAAAACAATTGTATCTATTGCAAAAAAAATAGTATATTTTTTATTTTGGCTGTATTTAATGTCGAATTAATTTAAAAAACATTAATGTAATTTATTTAATTTGTTTAATAAAAAAATTATTTAACGCGAAAAAAAGTTATATTTTGTATGCGTGCACGCATGCGCGTATGTAATAAGATTTCTATTTTTTTTTGCGTACACTTATTAGGAAAATAATTTGTAACGCCGTTATTATCCATATTTTTTTGATAACGATCATTATTTTTTTTAGCTGTAATGATAACGGCAATATTAAATTTTTACATTAAAAAATAACGATAACTGTTATTTTTATAAATGTTCTTAACTCCTATTGTTATTATGTATATAAAGTAAAACCTTGTTTTTACATATAGGTCGAAAGATCGGGTTCAAACAATATGTTACTCGAGTAGATGAAGAAAGATCAAATAAACTTATGTATTATGAAAATGTTTTATTGAAAAGTTACAAATGTTCAAAAGTTTTCATCAATATTTATAATAGTCATAATAAATATTTGAAAAGTAATTATTTCTTCTACAAGAATGCAGATTTTCATTCGTCGAATTAATGACTGTCGAACTTTTTCGAATATTTCTTATACGCAAAACAATATTAAACAAGATATCAAACATTGTAAGAATATCCAAATAGAATTCATTAACGTTAGAAACTGTTGTAAATGTCATAACAACAAAATTGATACGGTGACGTTCTTTTCAATATAATATAGCAAATTCCTCTCTTTTTTTTGGTCCTCATTCCGGTTGGCACTTGATACATTCCTGAGTTGATAGAAATTATCCCTCTCCCCGAAAAAAATTTCACGCCTATGGTAGGAATATTCGAAAGAGTTCGACAGTCACTAGTTCGAATGAAAGCCTACATTCTTGCAGAAGAAAAAATTTTTGAATATTGTAACTATTATGTTGTTAAGAATCTTTGAACATTTGTATTTTTTTAAGGCATTTTTGGACATAAGCTTATACCTCTTTTCATCTACTTACTAGAGTTCTATACTTGTATACAATAAGAAATCTATGTAAAGAACAAAGGTTTTATTTTACACCGGATGTTTATTCTACTCCGGAAAAATTTAATCCGGAGCTAAATTTAATGAGATCGAATTATGCAATTTTTTTATTTTCAGATAAGTTGAGGATAATTTTAACAAAGAGATATCTCCATTCTAATAACAAAAAATATACGTAATAAGAAATAAGAATACATTTATGCAAAAAATAAGGCTTATCTTATTCTATGTGCATAATAAGAATATCCAATCTATTCAAAGAACAGAGGTTTCAGTAATATATATACATAAAAACAGAGGCCTTAACCTCTATTTCTTGCATATACCGATGTTTATGTACGAACATAGAAAAATTCCTGTTTTTTGCACAGACATATATTTATTCGCATATGATTTTTTGTTACTAGATTATAATATTTTTTTCCCTTGGTTTCGTAAAATTTTAAATATATATGTATCTATATCATTTTAAGATATCGATAATTTAAATTAATTTAACTAAAACAACAAATCTCTTTTTTTTAATTACAATAATTGATTTTGAGTCGGTTTGCTAACTCGGTGCACTGACAATAGAAATAGAAATAGAAATTCTTTTTATTGGAAGTATTGCATCTATTATTACGCGGTTCATCGGCTCGATTGTGCTGTGCACGCAAGGTATACATGCATAATTTCGTCATGCACAATTTCGTCATGCATAATTTGGATGGTACACACGCGTGTATATACATACACATATATACGCCGCTAATTCTTTAGAAAGTGACAGGAAGCGACAGATGAAACAAACTTTCGTCATGGATACAAATTGAAAGATAAAACTGAAACGATTATTTACAAACTAAAAAAATTTTATATTAGGTGTTGGAATTAATTCGTAGCGTTTTTAAATGAAAGAATGTTATTTATTTCACATGAGCATTAAAAAATACATTAATGAAAGTACTTCCCATCACTTGTAAAACGCTACGAATTAATTCCAACACCTAATATTTAAAGAAGAGTGTTTTATTTTTAAAAATTGTCTAACTAATAAAAAAAGCTATTTTAAGAATTATTTTTGTAACCTTTTTTTATTAGACTTTTAAAACTAAAAAGTCCCAAAGTGTTTACACGAAGGCGACGGAATAATACCAAACGTTAGATATGTAGGTCTCTCTGAAATGCGTAAGCATAGAATATCCCAAGGAATTATCTTTAAGCATTGTTTAAAAATTATATTAACATATTTTATTAGCTTATTTTTTAATATTAAACATAAAAAATGAATTAAAATGAAGTGAGATTAAACAAAATAAATAGAAAAAATTACATTTAAAAGTACGGAACAAAATATTCGTCAAATAAGTTATAACAAGAATTTTAATGAAGATTGTTGGCTAATTATTATGATTTTAAGTTGAAAATTATATCAGTTAATTATACATTATCTATTAAAAGTACATTATCTAATAGCATGCTTCCTGGTTGCAATATTTAATCAACAATTGTTTAAGCTGACTTAGTGTTAATTATTTTCTATACAAAAGGTTCTGTCCATCATAATACTTATCACGTACTCATAATAGTTTCGGGATGATTCGCGTAATTATTGTTATATATCTCAGCTCATAAGGGTTCATTTATGAATTCTTCAGTCGTGCACTTCAACTTGGGGGATTCCCGAGCGATTTTTCCTTCGTCAGCGCGAACAATGAGTATGCCTTGTGCGTTCTCTGGCGAGAGAAACCGCGCTGCACACGTAAGAACGTTCTCCCTTGTGCATGGGACTGACTTTAAATTACAATAAACCTGTTCCGATTTTTCTGTCACAGACATCGTTATGTCGAGTTTACACTAAGAAAAAAATACTTAAAAATTGACTTTCAAATTTCAGTGAAATATATTTATTTCAAAAATTTATTGAAAAGAGTTCTTAAAATATTATACAATGAAATAAAATATTCTAAATATGTAAATCATCTATTTTATCTTTCGACAATTAATAATATATATTGTATAGATATATATTTTATTGCGACAAATTTTTTATAACTAATAAATATTGAAGAAAATATCATATAGCACACATCACACACACATTTGCGAAAAAAAAAAAATATTTTTTTTTCTCGGTGTATTTGCGCTAACGTACACATTACATGTATCGACGTACACAAATAGTTATCAATTTTTTTTTCATAAACTGCAATTACCTGAGATATTTTTTATACCTTTAAAAATCATTGTTATTAATTACATATATATAACATGTATATTGAGTGCTGTACAAATTATTATATAATATTTAAAATTATTATATGTGTGTATAGATTGATGTTTTCTGAAAAAAGTTTAAGAAGAAATTAAAAAATGGGTATAAATTTTCAATCAGTAAGAGAAAATATTACAAGACTGAATTTTAGTTTTTTGCTGTTGAGATGTAAAAATCATTCATCGTGATTATTTCCAAATTAAACAAGATCCCTTGTTCCTCTTTGCATTTTTTTGTTTTTTTTTTGTTTTTTTTATTTAGTAACGATAAGTCAAGCTTTAGAAACAGGCACATAAAACTGAATTGAATTTTCTTTCGTCCTTGTCCGTAATGTCGATGAGATAACGAAACAAACTTTTCAGTTTATCTGACGCTATGCTCTTTATCTTCATCAATTGCGTAAACCAAATGAACTTAGCGATTAACAATAACTTTACGAGTGTATCGAAAACGTGCTGATCGTATACAGACGGACAGACTGATGGTAACATTCAAATGTGTATTTTAAGAATACCAAAACTGCATGACGTAATTCGTGGCGTTTCAATGCTTAGAATTCAAAAGCTTAGTTGAAGATTGGTATTTTCACTTTCCCTCTGAAATAATAAAGATCTGGCCGTGCAACTGTACTGTTATCGACGCCAATTGAGATTGTAATCACGTAGCGCAAATGATATATCCGAGAAGTGATAGATGATCGGAATAAACGATGATCGTCGCGAGAACACATCGCGATTTCGGCGAATTGTATTCATTCACTTTGGTGGCTTCCTGCATTGCACACGTTTATTATGCATTCGGCGAAGCTGAAAATGTATACTCACCGTTAATTTCAGCCTTCTGACCATGAAAATCCTCGCATACCGTGTAAATTGTTTAGAACGCGTACGATTTATGAGAAGCTGAGGTCTCTCTCGATCTAGAAACGAGACACGAATGGCGCGTATTTTCCTCTTATTTTCCTCATTCAAGGTAGCAGTTTAATTTTAGCGACTCGCTGAATGAAATCGACCGCAGCAAATGATAATAGAGTGTATATTTCCTGAAAAAACCTGGAAAAAGGATAAGGAATTTTAAAAAACGAGGGGATTTCTTATCTTTAAAAATTAGGGCTTTTCATAGAATTTTATCGGGACTCACAAGGGAACGTTTCAAATCATAAAAGAGATACAAAAAACTAACTGTTATCAGTCAAAAGATCACGTTTGAAATAGGTATAGATAACCCTCTTCTGTTAGGCGAAAATTTAGCCTGAATTATTAATTGATTTTATGGCGGTGGAAGAAAAGCTTCGCTTTCCATGGATCCGCTCGCAGCGCATGAAATGTCTGATAGTATCGTGATAAACGATCAGTTAGAAAGCGAAGTAGCGATTTCTACGAGACGTCGCAAGCGCGTTGGGCCTTTCTCGTAACGCCGACCGCACCGTTTATCCTCAATAAACTGGACGATATCGGTGTAAAGCCTATTGCATACTAGACACGATGAGCGATGAACGACAAGCGACATCCAGTGAGAGCTTTGCTTTGCGTCGTCACGTGAGAAAAGCTTTTTTCAAAGAGCAGAGCTTTTATTGGATATCGCTCATCATCGCTTAAGGCTGGCTGCCGCACACAAAATTCCACAAGAAGTAAACTTAAGCCGATGAGCCAATCAGGATATTTAGATCTACGTAATCTAACGGGAATGGAAATAACAGTTTTATCCATAACCTCGCAATAAGGTGAATTTCAACCGGTTGAAACTCGCCTTATGGATAAGTTTACTGCTATTTCTATTTTTCGTTAGAGTACGTAGATCTAAGATCTAAGGCAGTATCTTGATTGGCTCATTGGCTTAAATTCATGTTTTAAAGTTACTGTTACAGAAATTTTGTCTGCGGCAACTCTTATCGCGTCCAGTGTGCAATAGGCGTAAGCGGAGTAGCGCGAAGAGAAGAAGCCAGAAGGTCCGCCAGATTCACTGCAATTTTCAACTGTATGTAAACGCACAGCGATCGCCGATTATATTTGCTCGAGAAGCGATCGAAGGGTTTCTCTTCGTTTTCCTGGTGGCACTACTGTGCACTTTACACACCGAAACGTGAGACGTGGCACGATCATCAGTTTTTTCTTTTGATAAAATATTATAACTTTCAAAATATGGACGTTGGACCACGCGCTTATCACATTTATAATTCGCTTTTGCAATTCTGAAATGCTCGTAACTTAAAAGGAAAAAAAAAAATTATTTATTATCCGAGAGAAATTATTGTATTTTTTGAATTTTCAGAAGTTTTATTTCAAAAAAAGAGGAATGTTAATCGAGTTGTTTCTCGTGAAAAAATTCCGAGATATATAAATTATATATCATATTAAAGGACTTTAAAGTAGAGTCAAGTAATGTCGTTAAAAACAGAGAAACATCGAGAATTTGAAAAAATTCGTTATCAAACACAATATATCGATAAATTATTGAATAAAATATCAAAATATTCCGATAATTAAGTAAAAATTGTGTTAGTATTTAAATATATTTATAACTTGATAAGCATGTTTGTTAAAACTAATTCGTGCGAAACCAAATGATTATTTTACATTAAATTCTTTATTGTTCGTCAATCATTTAAGAATCTCCAACAAAACAGCTTTTGTTGTTTAATTCCGGAAATGTTTTGATTTTTTACCTAACAATTTTTTATCAATAAATGAATTTATTAAAGATGGAGGTATGCTTATCTTAGTTATTAAGTGTTTCTTTGCGTTTCTACTTTAATTTTTGCTTTATTTTTGCACTGAAGATAATTTAAATTCAGAACCGAAACATTCGTAGATGATTTTTATTATATTCGTTCTTAATATAAAACATACATACGTTCTAATTGTTTGCAAATTGCACCCTTTTGCCTTATAATTATACTATATGAATATTTTTTATATACTAACTCACAGAAATTTTTATGGGCACTTTTATTGTACTGGATTTTCTTATATTGTCTCGAAGCTACTATTTATCACAATTTCTTTCACATTTCTGATGTTTTTTCTCAAGATAAGCAATACATTAACTCCACTTAAGTAGTCTTTTAATATCATGTAATTTATCTTTTATTTTTATCAAAAAACTGTGAAAACTTAACATTCTTTCCTTTTTTATTTTATTTCAAGAAATTTCTTGTTTTAATAATTGGAAAGATATTATAATAATAATAAAAAAAAAAGTAACATTTTGGATCTTTAAAAACGTTAATTTTTTACAACATACATTAATCATTAAGAATTAAATCAGTTTTTTATCTATGAATAAATCGGAAATATTTCGACTATACTAAGTTTTCAATCAGTTAAATTTATTTGACAATAAGATGACGTTAAAGATTTATTTAAATTGTGCGCCGAATTGGTTTTTTCGGAATTATAAATGCAATTAAGCAACTATAATAATGTCACGACTTAAATTAAATTGATAAGCAATTTTTAATAATTCGATGCTTAATTAGGCATCGTATTAGAAAGATAGAAACAAATTTATTGCGAAAAATATTTCTTCGGCCGAGAATCGAACTAAATCTCTATAATCTAAAAAAGGTTTAAGGCGTTCGTACGAAATATAAGAGATTCGACTATTTTACGCAATAAATTTATTTAGAGTTTTTCAGCAAATTAACATCGTTCTAATGTGATGCCTGATTGAGCATCGAATTATTAAAAATTGCTTATAAATTAAATTTAATTCGTGATATTACAGCAATTTAATTGCGTTTATAACTCTGAAAAATCAATCCGGCGCGCAGTTTGAATAGCTACAAATATAATATATATGCATGTACACACACGCACACACGCACGCATGCACGCACGACGCACGCACGCACAATTTACATTAAATTATTTAAAAGCATTAAAGATCTATGTTCGACCGGTATAGGCTTCTAGTTTATTGATTGTGTTTCTCACATTTACGGTCTAAAATAATATTCTTATTGTTTAATTTTATTTATCTCTTTTTGCACGATTTATCTCTTTTTGAGATTTTTAAAGTAAAATATTATTTTCTGATCATAATACATTTATTTTTGAAAGCAGCACAATACAAATTTTAATTTTGTTAACAAATAATAGTATTAATAATGTTAATTAATTATAAAAATTAAAAAAAACCAAAGAACATAAAAAAACCACAGCACAGGTAAATATAATTAATTATATTTACTCCGGTGTGTTATTCAAATTGAGATAAATCTGATCAGATATTTCTAATCATCTTTCCATAAATAATTACCGAATAAATTGACTATGTCTAAAAAGAAAAATAGTACATATCGAATTTTATATGGTAAGAGAAATATTTGAAATTTATTGCGTCGTACATGCAAGAAGCGCTCTTCCATTTATCATAAATAATTGATTAACGCAAATCGGAACCCGCATGATAATTTTATGATGAAAATTAATGAATTTATTATCTGTGAAAACAAAGTACAAAAAACTGCCGAATTTTTAAAAGCGTAATAGCGTGAGGGAGAGTTTTGGAGAGTCTCGCGAGAGAGGCGAAGTCGATCGTCGGCGAAGATTATACAGATTGGAAAGCTATGAGATGAGTATACCGACTGAAATTGCGCGCATGAAAATATTTTCATCCAACACACACGATGTTGCGACATAAAATTTATTTCTATTTAATCTAATCTAATTCTAAAGGACACTAAAAAAATAGCTTTGAGAAAATTGTGTACTATTTCAATAGCGTCGTTATATTCTACTGTACCGTAAAGTATAGCAATCAATTTAAATAACGTAATAAAATCCGTGTTCTCTCCGTTAGATTTTTGGTCTGCTGTTGGAATCTCTTTCTGAACGATTGATTTGAATAATTGTTTTTAATAATTCTCCTTTTTCTAATTGAGATAATTTTTTGTTCAGTTTCAGTCAATCTCTTTTTGATTTTAAACATTTCCGATAGTTCCCCTTTTTTAAATCGGAATGAAGTTTGACTTTACATCAGATTAGTCGTATAAAATTTTCTTCCTTTCGATCGTCAAACTAAAAAATTTTGCACTATTGCTCCACTGCATTCCTACTTTCTTAATGCGCTTACGAATTGCGAAATTACCATCCGTAATGATCGGATGACTTACAACAGCTAGACCGTATACGTGCACATATCTTTTTTTTTTTATTTTTTTTGCAAGAGATAATTTTACATTATCGAAAATATAATTATTGAAAAACATTACAACTGGATATTAACATTGAATAGAATTTGTTTTTCGAACTGCTGCACACGTACAAGTAGGTATTTGCATATTGATTACTTTTTTCTTTAATTCTAGAGGTGACTTAATGTTAAATTTTTATTCTTCTTCATTTATTTATTAATTTTGATTGTAACTTATATGTGCGGATTATAGCAGTCATTATAAATTTAAATTAAATTTAAATTCTTAAATTTAATGCATTACTCATACATTATAAATATTGTTTCATAAGAAACTGAAGATTTTTATATCTGATTTTACTTGCGAGCGTCATTGCTGTATATATAAACAAAAATGAAGAATAAAATTTATGCAGCAGAAAAATAAATAATTTTGTCAAACAAAGTTGTGACATCTCTTTTTCAAATCAATGTTGAAATATTATATTTTGTATCTTTAATTTAAATGAAAAATATTTTACTGCTGCATAACTGTATATTTTTGATTGGTCATTATTTTAAATTGATTAATTTTAAGCGTTTTTTTATTTATTTTTATACTTACAGTCATTGGTCTTTTGACTTATTTTTTCTTTGAATTAATAATTTAAGTTATTAGTTAATAAATACGAAATGCCTAATATAAAAATAATTATCATAAATTATCGACATTTGGAGAGTAGTATAAAAGTTTTTTTTTAATGCTTTTTAAATCTTAAAGACGAATATCGTGACAATGGTGCATCGTAGAAAAAAATTTACTTATGGGATCGTTTTCATCTGCATGCTAACGAGAGATTGTTCACTTTTCTTATGACACTATTATTTTATTCGTTTTACATTTATGTGGTTCATATACCTATATTCATATACCTATATACCTATATACCTATATTCATATTTCATTTGTTTTACATTTATGTGATTCATATACCTATATATAATTTATATTCTATAATTCTTGAGTAGTTACGATACTGTTATTATACTGTCATTGCACACTCTTTGTAGTAGCGTAGTAAAAACATGGCGCAATAACAATATAATACTCGCACTGTCATTAAGCTCCGAAACACAATAGGTGTAAGCCTTAAAAAATTAATCAATTATAGTCGATTATTCAATTCAAATTCAAACTGTGATTAATCAATATCTTATGGCAAACTTACTACACTTACTATGTTTCGGAACTGAAAGTTACAAAATAGGGACTTGAATATTAGCAACAGAGCAGAACAGGGGAAGCATTAAAATTACAAAAAGATATAGATGTGTTAAAAATAAA